CACACATACAGTATGTATATATTTGTGCTGATAAGCCTGAGTGGTCTGTTGACTGACTGTTGTATTTGTTCAAATAATTGTTATGAGCAGGTTACAATATAAAATGTTTGTCATAATCATGTCTTGTGATTATTTGACAGGAGTTTTACTTTTAAACTGTAAGTGTATTTATTTAGTTATAATAGTTCAGTTATGATGTAAATACAATAAAAATTAAACCTTGGTTTAGAATAATTACCATTTTGATCCATACATTGGTAATGTCTGACTGGGCCTCGTGTCGCTTTATGTTCAACAAATTGGGCCCCGAGGTCAAAAAGGTTAAGAACCTCTGATCTTAAGGCACAATTTATATGGAAAGTATTTATTTTTTTACAATAACAAACTGGAATGAAAAGAAGCAAAAATGAAATTAGTGACTTTCTACTTCTTGTCTTTTTTAAAAATGTAAGGAGTAGAAGTAAATAGTAGGCTGAAAAATAATTACTCAAGTAAAGTACAGATACCCAAAAATTCTACGTAAGTACAGTAACAAAGTATTTGTACTTAATTACTTTACAACTCTGTGAAAGTCAGAGCAAGAAAATTCATTCTGTGGAAGACAGACTAAACATAGTTGAAACTGCATCGCTGGTGAGGATAAATGAAGCGTCTCATACTTTGTCCCTAACAAGGACACAATATGGGTTTCAAAAGGAAAAAACCCTCTGCATGGAACACGTTTATGCATAGGTTTGTGGTTAGGAGTCATGGATATGGGGCAGGGAAGTCATAGAGGAGGAAGGGGAGGGGGTGGAGGGAAACAGAAGGAGGGAACCAGCGAAGGCAGTGAGTCGTAGGGCGGTGTATCTGAAGCAGTGAAAGTGTTGTATGTGCATGTGTGAACATCTGTAGATTAGGGCTGCCACGAACGATTAGTTTTATAATCGACAAATCATCACCGATTATTTTTTTGATTAGTCGACTAATCGGATCATATGTTAATTGAATACAAAACATACAGCTWATCGCACCAGAATGCAGCTGCTATTATATAACCATGGTTAGATTTTAGCTATATGCTAACTAAAAATAATTGCTGTGGAAGGCAAGTTCTGCCTTGTAGATATTGCACAGGTTTCTCTTTCATTTTCTTAAAATGATCCCACACTTTTGAGCTATGACGTCCACAGCCTACCCCAGTTACCACTACTGTGCATGTGTGTCAAGGACAGAAAGGCAGATGTGGCAGTGGAAGGTGTCAAAGCAGTTTGGAGAGATAAAGTAAAATACAACAACAACAAAATAACCCAGACTAATCGACTATTAAATTAATCATCGACTATTTTAATAGTCGAATAGTCGTCAACTAATCATGGCAGCCCTAATGTAGATAAAACAGTGAAACCAGTCACCCGAACAGCCCCCTCCCAACCATAACCTCAGAATAAGGTTGTAATTGTACGTCTGCTCGGCCTTCGTGGCTTTTAGACACCAGTTCACAGATGTAAGTGGGAGGAGTCTGAGTGTTGACAGCAGGGTAAATTCCATCACAAGCCGGGTAGCCTCATCAAGGCCCGAATGGCTCCTGACACTTTCTGAATTTCACAATAAGCCAGAAATCCACCACCGCCAATCAAAAGAAATCATTAATCCAATGATGTAAACAATGTAAAACAATGTAATGATTTTATGTTTAAAAAAATCCTAGAGGAAACCCTGGTTCACGTGCCAAAGATATTAAATTCTTGTGTACTTCTGATGAGACAGATTCAGCCAGAGGTAGCTGTTCAAAGTMATTTTTAATGTAAAATGAAACTTTACAGTACAGTATACATTTAGAAACAAGATGTCTGAACAATACACATTGTGATCTATGAACTCTTTTGGTGAAATTTGATTCTTCTTTGAACTTGGGAAAACAGGAAAACCTGCAATGGAATCACGCCGCAAATTCTGGAAGTTACGAGAAAAGGAGAGACAATCATGTCTCACAAGGAAAAAAACACAGCACAAGGAAAAGACTGTCAAGGTATCTTCTGCTGGTTCTTTTATCTATTTTATGGTGCATTTTTTTCTGCATTTTTTTTAATGTGAAAAAGAAAAAAATTGTATAGGTCTTCTGGACGGGTTCTTCTCTAATGAAACGTTTCGTCTCTCCTCCAAGAGACTTCTTCAGTCTGAGAGTTTCAGGCAAAATTCAGGCTTTTAAGCCCTGCCTCCATGTGACTGATACTCACATCACATGGCTATCGTTGGCACCTAATTAACACTTATTGTTAACAGGGGGTGGAGTGATACTGGCAATAGCCGCGCTGTAGGAGGGGGACAACTGAAAACGGAGGCCTCCACCTCTGTTTAATGATGGACGGTCTTTCTTCACAAAAATGGCTTCTTTTACTCCTCTCTCAAACCAACGTTCCTCTCTATCAAGAATGAGAACATCCTCATCTCTGAAAGAGTGAACGCTGGCCTGTAAATGAGTGAAAACTGCAGAGTTCTGGCCATTAGATGGAGCTCGTCTGTGTTGGGACATTCTTTTGAACAGTGGCTGCTTTGTTTCCCCGATGTATAACTGGTCGCAGTCCTCCTGGCACTTAACAGCAAATATAACATTGCTCTGTTTGTGCCGGGGCACCGGATCTTTGGGGTGAACCAGCCTTTGCAGCCACTGTTCAAAAGAATGTCCCAACACAGACGAGCTACATCTAATGGCCAGAACTCTGCAGTTTTCACTCATTTGCAGGCCAGCGGTCACTCTTTCAGAGATGAGGATGTTCTCATTCTTGATAGAGAGGAACGTTGGTTTGAGAGAGGAGTAAAAGAAGCCATTTTTGTAAAGAAAGACCATCCATCATTAAACAGAGGTGGAGGCCTCCGTTTTCAGCTGTCCCCCTCCTACAGCGCGGCTATTGCCAGTATCACTCCACCCCCTGTTAACAATARGTGTTAATTAGGTGTCAACGATAGCCATGTGATGTRWSTRTCA